AATGCGTCCAACGACGTTAAGATAGAATACGCTGAAAGAGGAACAGTGCCTCAGGTGCGCTCACCTGTCAGGTGTTTGATGAAGGCCTCCTTGTGTCGGGGGTCTCTGGGATGACCCTCTGAAACACACAGTACCAACATCAACAGTTACTTTCATCTTCTGGATCAAAAGCTGCAGAGTTCATCTCAATATTTCATCTGTGACGACGGTTTTCTGGACGTCTTGTGCGGTAAAAAAACAGCAGAAGAAGAAGAAGAGTGATGATGTCAACACGATGAAGAGTCTAATGGACCCGACTGTAAATGAGTTCAAGTGGAGTTCTTCTTCTGTGTTTGTTTCTCCTGTAAAAGTTATTAATATCTTTAGAAAGAGCTCCGGGTTCATTCACACGTGATGGAGGAAGTTTTCAGATACTTTTTAAAAAATACTCCTGCAATCAAGTAAAAGTACAAAAGTATTGGCATCAAAATAAACTTTAAAGTATCAACATTAAAGTACTCATGAGGCAGAAAACTGTTTTCTTCTACTTGTAATACTTTAAGTACATGTTCCAGGTACTTTAAGTCCTGCTTTAAAAATGTTACTGAAGTAAAAGTATCTGGAAAATGTACTTAAAGTATAAAAAGTAAAAGTGTTTTCTGCCTGATAAGTACCTGTGGTGGTATTCTGGTGCTAATTTTACTTGAAAGCAGGACGAGTATTTCTACACTGTAGTAGTACATTTACTAACTGATTGTGACTGAACGGTTTGATTAACAGAGATGTTAGAATCAGACGTGTAGTAGTAGTAGTAGTAATAGCAGTAGTAGTAGTAGCAGTAGTAGTACTAGTAGTAGTAGTAGTAGTACTAGTAGTAGTAGTAGTAGTAATAGCAGTAGTAGTAGTAGCAGTAGTAGTACTAGTAGTAGTAGTAGTAATAGCAGTATTAGTAGTAGTAGTACTCGTAGTACTGACCCAGTCCCTGCTGGGACCTGCTCTCTCTCTCCAGCCTCCTCACTCCGTCCCCGCTGGTCCTGGTCTCGGTTCTGGTCCTGGTCTCGGTCCTGGTCCTGGTCTCGGTCCTGGTCTTCACCTCCAGCCGGCTGCAGCGTCCCGCGACCAGCAGCAGCACGAGGACGAGCGACAGCAGCATCACTGCGGACCTGAGGGAGCGCGCGCTCATTGATTGATTGATTGAGTTTTTAAGTGGAATTAATTTGCTTTGCAGCTTCAGGAGTTCCTGTTTTTAAAATAAGAATGATTCTGTATTTTGTTGTCATTTCAGTCTGCTAATCATAAATATATTTACATATAGTTACATATATTTAAATGTCTCTCTCTTCGAAACATTTGATGTTTTTAACAGAAAGTATTTGTAAACAATGTAAAATAAAGCTTTGACACAGATCGATACTGCGTCTTGTACTGTTACTAGTACCACAGTACTACAGTAGTAATACTATAAGGTATAAATATAAAAAATACATTTCATGATTCCATCTGAAGTCAAAGTTATGAATATGAAATGTCTCTGACCTGTCGGGCTGCTGGATGTCTGCTCTTCTTTAAACAAGGAGTCTATCTGTCTGTATTGTTGTTATTGTTGTTATTAATATTATTATTATTGTTATTATTATTGTTATTATCCCGGGTTATTCTCGATCCGAGCCGCGTGTCGAGCGCCGGGGCCTCTCATCGTCAGACCGGCCGGTGGGGCGCGTGGAGCCGGAGAAGATCCTTCATCATCATCATCGTCATCAGTCGGTTCCTCCAGCAGCAGCTGTCAGAGACACTGAGACCTTGTCTCTCTGAGGACCAAAGACCAGACGCTTGTGTCCAATTAAAGGCGCGGGCATTCGGCACGAGACCCCCCCGCAGCTCCTCTCTATTGATCAGGCTGATCTGCACCACGCGCTCCTCTTCCTCCTCTTCCCTCTGTGGAAATAGTCTTATTCTCTCCACATGCGCAACTCCACCTGATTACGGAAATACAAGAGGAGGAGGAGGAGGAGGAGGAGGTTCCGAGGTTCCCCGTCGATGTTCTCAGAGTTCCACCTTTATTTGCTACTCTGCTCAGATAATCACTCAGCTGCTCTAGATGTTGATGTACATTTACATCCGTACATTGAGAGCAGTGATTTACCAGGAATGTCTGTGGGTGCACGGCCAGGTCGTAGGTCTGTGTATTTGTGTATATATATATAATATTTATTATATACTCGTGCTTGTGAGTGAGTACCAGTGTTTTAGAACCTGTATTTATTCAGGGTTTAAGGGGAGGAGTGGAGGCTGTTTATTCACGCAGGTCACTGGTATGCCGATAAAGTTTTCTCATGGCTATTAACTGCACTTTGTACATATCCAGGCCTGTACACCTCAGGACTGTGGCACTTACAACGTGCACTACTTTGGAACGCCTCCAAGAGCCCTCTGGAACCAACCCCCAAGAGCCCATTAAATGTCCTCAAGAACACTTTGAACCTTGTCTAACCTCTTCAGACTCGGATATCTCCTGAGTGACCTATGGACCGTCCTCCGAGAACCTCCCAAATGGATCCTGGAACCCACTTTAAAGGCCCCACAGAACCCAAAGACTCATACATATAATGTCTACATAGAGTTGGGGGGACCACCCAAGGATCTCTCAAATCTCCTTCAGCACCTCTGGAAACTATCTAAAGGACCTTTTCCCCCAACCTTTGTAACTTCCTTCAGCACCCCTAGAAGCTCTTTAAGAACCTCTCAAACTTTCTAAAAAGTTCTGAGGGCTATCACAAGAACCCCTGGAACCTCTTCCAAGGCACCTTGGACACTGCAGATCCCACAGGAACCTACTCTTGAACCATAGAGCTCAGTTGAGAATGTCTGGAACCTACTTCTGCACCTCTTCAAGAACCTTTGGACTTTCTCAAAGACCTCAGAAACCTACTGGAAAACTGGAACCTTCTCAAAGACCCCACTTCCAAGAACCTTGAAGAGTTTTCAACTTGAATGGATGGTTCTTGTGGATGGTCTAGAGGTACTGAGAGGAAGGGTCTAAATATTCTTTAGAGGGTCTAAAAAGGGTTCTTGAAGAGTTTTCAACTCTGAAACTCTCTCAAAGGCCCCCAGAAGAAAGCGTGACTCTGGAAACACCCATCAGATGTTCTGATACCTCATTAAATTGTCTTTAAAGACCACAGGAACCTGCAGACAAACCTGTACTTTCTGTCGTTTGATCATCTGGGACCAAAGAAAATGAAAAAGCACATTTGTTAAGACAATAAAAGCAGAAAGAAACATTTAATTTCAATGAGAGACGGAAGAAAAACTAACAAACTTAGTGAAAGCGTTCCGTTCTGCCACACACACAAACACACACACACACACACACACACACACACACACACACACTGAAAAGCCAACATCAACACCAGGTGTGTGCAGGTGTGACCTTTTATTTTTTTCATTCTCCTAAAATAATATTTCATAAAAGAACAAAAGGAGCAAAAACAAAAAGGTGTTTTTGGCCCAACAGACAATTTAAACCTCTAATGACTCAGATTAAACAGTCTGAACTGTTACAGCTTCAATAATAACAATAATAACGACTCTCTGGCTTCGTTTATTCTCTCGTCTGAACACCAGTCTTCTGTCTTGGTCCTGGTTCCAGACTCGACCCGGATCATTAATAACACGTCTCGTGTTTCTTCTTTCTGAACTTTGGAGGAAAAACGTCACAACAAAAATGACTTGATGTTCCGTTGTTCCTCCGGGACATACACTCTGCCGCATCGTCCCGACAATGCAGAGACTTGTCTTGACTGCTTAATCTGACCTCCGCACAAACAGCTCCGGGGGACCTCGAGGAACACACTGCTCCTTTGTTCTGCGGTACATCTTCAGCGAGGACAGTGTGACGACGGGTTTATGGGTCTTCGTCTGTGACGGATCTACTGAAAATTAATTTGAGCGGTCACCTAATGAGTGGGTGTCGGAAGTATGATGAAAAAACACTGGAATCTCCTTCACAGAGCTCCAAAATCTCCTTGAGAACCCTTCAAACCCTCTGAAGAACCCTGATGGACCCCTTGAACCTGATCAAGAACCTGTGAAACATCCAAACTTCAGAATGAATCGTTGTGAGAGAGAGATCCCAAAACCGCCTCAAAGACCCAAAAAACTACCACAACTTCCTCAAGTACTTCTGGATCTGGAACCTCCCAAAGAACATCTTCAACCTCATTCAAGTTGAAGTCTCTTCAAGAACCCTTTAGAACCTCCTCTCAGGTCCCCTAGAAAATCCACAAGAACCAACTTAAACCTTGTTCCAGTTAAATATCTCTTCAAGAACCCTTTAGACCTTCTAAAGAATATTTAAAACACCCTCTCAGGACCTGTGGAACATCCACAAGAACCATCTCAAACCTCATTCAAGTTGAAATCTCTTCAAGAACCCTTTAGAACCCCCTCTCAGGTCCTCTGGAAAATCGACAAGAACCACCTTAAACCTCAATCAAGTTAAAATCTCTTCAAGAACCCTTTAGATCTTTTAAAGAATATTTAGAACCCCCTATCAGGACCTCTGGAAAATCCACAAGAATCATCTTAAACCTCAATACATTTAATAAACCCTTCAAAAACCCTTTAGAACCTCTTCTCAGGTCCTCTGGAACATCCACAAGAACCTGGATCTGTTCAACTTCACCAAGGGCCCTTTGATTCTTCAGAAGAACCAGTAAAATAATCTCTGGACCCTCCTCAGAACCTTTAAACCTCTTCAAGAACTCCTGGTGAACCACCAACAACGTCTTAAACTTTGAGGATGAATAAATCTCATGAAGAAGCCTTTGAACCTCCTGAGAGGAGGCAGTGGACCCTCTGGAGAACCACCATTGGTCCACAGCACCACCCAGTGGTCGGGGGCACAAACTGCACCCTGATCGGCCAAGATATTCCTCAGACGTTACACTTCCGGTCCGGTAGGCGGCAGCAGTCCGCCATTAAACCCCACAGAAGAAGATCACGTACGTCATCACGTCGCGACGCCGTAACGGCTGTTGAGGCGACACACGAGAGAGGAGATTCTTTTCTCTGGTTTTAAATAAAATGTCGGTTTTTCACGACGAAGTAGAGATCGAGGACTTTGAGTATGACGAGGACACGGAGACGTATTACTTCCCGTGTCCCTGTGGGGACAAGTTCGCCATTACTAAAGTAAGAAGAGCTAACGGAAGGCTAACAGCTAGCTTTACTGAACGCCAGACTGCATTCATAAAATCACGTATTTTAACGTTTCTTCGGCTTCATTGACTTCTTTACGTGCATAGAACATACGTCATAGCTTCCACCAGTAAACAAAGTGTTGTGATTAAGTCGGCATTCATTTGATGATCATTTGTATTCATATATTACAACTGTTACGTGATGTTGGACCACAAAGTTGCCAGAAGACTTCAGGACAAGATGTCAAATTTAAGACTTTTTTTAATGGAGTTTGGTTCATGTTTTGTGAAACTTCTTCTGAAATAGCACATTATGTGTTTCAAAGTATTTGATTAAGAAGCCGGATGTATTATGTTCACGTGGAACAAGGATTTAACACAAAATGAGAAGTATTTTATCTTCTTTACGGTATTTTAGAAGATAGGAAGTTACAACTTCTATATCCGGTGTGTTTTTAAAAGGAGGACCTGGAGAACGGGGAGGTGGCGGCGACGTGTCCGAGCTGCTCGCTCATCGTTAAAGTGATCTACGATCAGGTCAGTGAACGCATTTCCACTCTTATTGACGTCTTATTGTGAAAACCCAAACCCACACAATTCAAATCAACAGTTACAGGAAGCCGTTAGTGTCATCCTTCAAAGTAAGAGTCACATATGGAAGGACAAGCACTCGACAGGAAGTCTTCACTGGAAATACAAGTTTGTTCTTTGTTTCAGGAGTTGTTTATGTCGGGAGAGATCGTGGAAACGTCGTCTACAGAAACCAAACTGGAGATGGTTCAGTCCTGACCCCCCCCCCCATCATCATAATCATCGACTGTTCCTTTAAATCCACTCTAGTGACGCAGCTCCTCTCACTTGTTTACACACACACACACCTAAACACACACACCTAAACATACACACCTACACACACACACCTAAACATACACACCTACACACACACACCTAAACATACACACCTACACACACACACCTAAACATACACACCTACACACACAAACTTTGTGTAAATGAACTCGCAGAGAATCCGTCGTGTCTGAAGAAGGTTTATTTTGAAGAGATGATGCGTTCCATTGCTGCTGGAAAACATTATTCTGTCCTTTAATATTCTGAAAATTGTAAATATGTTTCATATCAGAATATTAACTTAAGTTATTTTAACAGTAATAAAATGTTTATTACAAACAGTGTTGTATTTGTTTAAAGTTTTCATCGAACTGACTGAATTCATTCGTCTGTGATTTAATATTTATTATGTTCTGTAATGAGCCTGAATGTTTCATCAAGAAGAATAAAAAACACATTTCTACAAACATTAAATTGAATAAGTAATGAAGTACAATGCAGAATTAAAATGGTTTAGATATATTTAAAAAGGTTTTTAATGGTCAAGCTACAACAATAATAGTTCTGTTGGATGCATTATACTGGGACATACCTCTTGACCTTTGACCCTCTTGCTCAAACACCTGCAGTGCAAAGCATTGTGGGTCAGAACATCCTGGTATTTCTGGCACAGTTCGTATCTTCCAATATGTATTATGTCAAATGTAGTCAGCATTTAGTGTATATATATGTATATATATATATACATATATATACACATTATATATATGTATACACTATATTTATGTTTATCACTCATGTCATATGACAGAAAACATTCATCAACATCTGGAAATGAATCGTTGGGTTTAAGAGCAGCAGATGACCACAAACTGCTCCAGAGAGATGCTAAGCTAACCCAGCTAAGGCTACTCCGCTACCCAGCATGCACCTGGCTGTCTGATGTTTCTGTTGCAGGAAAAATAAGATGTATGAAAGCAGCGGGAGGGTCGGTGACTGAGACCATTCAATTTATTGGTATAACCCAAAAATCAAAAATCAATGTCTCCCTGCAGGGGGGGGTTCCCTAACACAAAGCAGGGAATGAGTGCGAGCGATGCCATAGACTTCAAACAAAGATGTGTGCATTGATAACATCCTGTGCGCAGGCGGCTCAATGATGCTGTTGTTTCCAGTGTCGGCCAATCACCTTCTCCCGTCTGACTGAGGGAGGAAGGGGGGTGGGGGCTGGGACACAACTCTCCTCTCAGACTGGTGAATGTTCACTCCTTCTGCTGGCAGCCCGATCAGGATATTCCCCGGAAAGAATAATGGCCCGGCAAGGAAAGGACTGGGACCCACACGAGACCCTGACACCCTGAGACCATCATGGACCCAAGCATTCAAGCTCTGGAGCTGTCGGGGGTCTTGGTCTGTGGGGGGGCCTGGCTCTGCTCGCTTGCCACCACCCTGATGTCCACCTGGCTCACCCTCTCCACCGACCTGCTCCCCACAGAGACCTACGAGCTGGGCCTTTGGGAGACCTGCGTGGTTCAGGACCTCGGGGCGCTGGAGTGCCGGCCCTACGACGGCCTCCTCGGTCTGCCGCCGGACATCAAGCTGGCCCGGATCCTCATGTGCGTGACGCTGGCTGCCGGGCTGCTCGGACTCCTGCTGGCTGTCCCCGGCGTGGACCTGGTGAACCTCTGCCACGACCCGCCGGAGGACCGCCGGCTCAAGTGGGCCTTGAAGGCGGCGGGCGGGACGCTGTGTCTGGCGGCCGGGATCCTGGGGCTCGTCCCGGTCTCGTACGTCGCCCACCTCGCAGTCCTGCGGTTCTTCGACGAGTCGGTGCCGGAGGTGGTGCCGCGCTGGGAGTTCGGGGACGCTCTGTTCTGCGGCTGGACGGCGGGAGTTCTTCACCTGGCGGCGGGAACGCTGCTGCTGACTTCCTGTTTGTGTCTGCAGACGGAAAACTGGGACCTGCGCCCATCCTCCCCCTAGTGAGGGGGAGGATGGGCGCAATGATTAACAAAGAGTTTCAGACAATTTCAATCTTAAATGTGAGTTGAAGCTGGAAGATGAAAGATCAGGTTTTATAAACAGCAGAGTGAACTAGATTTAGAATACAATGTCTAGAGATGCAGATCGACTATTGTTCTCTTATTTAACCCTAAATAAGGAGTTTGTTTCTGTTCCAGAATAATTGAAGATAAAGTTTTGTGGGTTTGAACAAACAACAAACCTTTAAAGTTTAACATCTGATAAATAGATTTCCTCTCAATCAGTCAGATCTCCAGGTTGTTCACTCGAGGAAGTCGTGCTGCTAGTTTCTGTTAACTAATAAACTAAACACACGTCTGTCTCCTTTTATGTAATCGTTATTGTAGAAATATCATTTCTGTTATCAGATTTAATTTAATGCTTAATTATCTACATTGTTTTCACTCAGTCATCTAATGACAAGTTTAATTTGGAGTAAAATAAAATATAAAATCATTTCTCCTTCAATCAGAAAGAAACGTTTTGATTCTGAATGTCGTCAGCAGATGAATGTGAACAAAGAAACAATAAAAACAACTGTCACGTGAAGTCTTTTTGTTTATTGTTTGTTCATAAAGCTGCTGTTTGTTTTGTCCGATGTTCAGGTTATTCATTCTTATTATTTCTGTCTGGTTCATTCGGAGTTTGACGGATGTTTCACACAAACATCTTTCCGGCTCCGTCCCGACCAATGAGAGACGCCTTTGTTCTGGTTTCACAACGCGCTCGTTATCTCCCGTAATCAGCAGCTGGATCCACATCAGTCGACCACGGAGACGCATCACGTGACTTCCACAGAGACGCCACGGAGACTCAATCACAGAGGAACTAAACCAACAATGAAATGAAGACTTTGCTCCTTTTCTAGAACTAAAGAATATTGTAAAGAACAAACATCTGCTTTGCAGAGAAGCATGTGGACGGTAGTGACATTTAAGTCTCATTCTCATGTCTGTCCATGAAGAAGAGATGCAGCCTGCACATGTGGAGGATGAAGATTGATCAAGTTATATTTGTAAAAATAATATTAAAATTCAAAAGGGGGGTTGTTTGTTTTCAACATTGGTAGGGACACATATTAAGGGGGGGGGGGGGGGGGGCAAACAAATGATTTTCTTGATTCTGGTGGATTCTGGTGAATAATCCACCACAGCATTAAATCCAATAACTGTTGCAGAGAATGAGACACAGCCACTAACATTTGATTAGCTTGTAGTTCTTGACGTCATGGACGTAACTGGAGACCGAATGAATTATTGATATCGTTTGAGAAACAAGTGATGAAATAAACCAGGAAATCCACAAGTTCTCAAATGAATCTAAATCTACAAACATGCTTTTCTTTAAAACAGATGTGCAGTTTGGGTGTCAGGGTCTCAGCCGTCATGAAGAATCACCCTGGAAGGAGTTCCCTCTTCCTGACTCACTGCCCTTTGTAAGAATTTGCAAACCTTTTATACAGTCCGACATCAGAGGAGCCAGACACCAGTAGAAAGAGAACCTGTTTGACAGAGTGAGAGAAGAACACCGGTACAATCACATTATCTTCGGGATCATTGTGAGTGATATTTGTAATTCACTCTTTTCTCTGATCCCCTGAGGCAGAAACGTTTGCATAAGAAAAGGATCTCTGGTGCACCTGAAGCCCTCAGGATATAAAGCTGCTCCCTCAGAGAGAATCTGGTCAAAGCGGATTTCTGAAAACCTTGATGGACACGTGAGGACAGACTTAAGAGTCACGATCACACAGACACAGCTGAGGTGATGTGATGGAAGACGAGTTTGAATCTTTAAGAACAGATGAATTAAGATCCACTTCTTTAAGCTGAACACATGTTATTGATGTTATGTACTACACCTCAGTTACCTCTGAGATGTAGTACAGTATAAAGTACAACATGTACCTCTGAGGTGTAGTACAGTATAAAGTATAATATGTAGCTCTGAGATGTAGTACAGTATAAATTACTATATGTACGTCTGAGATGTAGTACAGTATAAAGTACAATATGTACCTCTGAGATGTAGTACAGTATGAAGTACTATATGTACCTCTGAGATGTAGTACAGTATAAAGTACAATATGTACCTCTGAGATGTAGTACAGTACCTTGTGTGTAGCATTGTAATCCACAGCGCCATCTGGTGGAAAATACTGTAAACTCACCAACAAGACCTGAACTCCTTCTTATTCATTGTGCACTACTTGACTCTCTTGTTGTATGATCCTTAAACGTCATGTGTGTCACTACAGCGGACAGCTGTTCAGAAGCTCTTTCATATATGGTCATGGGTTCTGATGGCAGAGTTGTGCATCATGCAACACAAATTTGTCAAAACCAAGATGGCCGACAGAAGGCCAGGAACGATGAGTATATGCTGTCAATCTTTCTATAGCGGTGCTAAATATGATGTACAGGGACCTATTGTTTTATACACACACAAATCAAATGATCAAGTTCTTTATTAATGAAATATTTTTATCAGGGAGCCGCAACAGAGAGGCTGAAGAGCCGCATGCGGCTCCTGAGCCGCAGGTTGCCGACCCCTGGCTTATACCATGAGACACTATTAGTTTAACTAATAGAAGTTCACTTAAGCTTCACTTCAGGAAGCAACACGATTTTGGAAAAATTAAGGAAAACTTCAAAATTTGATATCAATCAATGAAATCTTGCTACGGCGTTCTCGTCATTGTGCACAGGGACCTATTATTTTATACACACACAAATCAAATGATCAGGTTTGTATTAATGAAATATTTATCAGATTAACTAAATAACTAAACTACTAAACAGAGAATTAATAAATATATGATCAGATAAACTAAATGAATGGAATTAATAATGGATACATGATACAGGAAAATGATAGATCAAGTTTTAAAAATAATTAAAAATGATTATAAAGAGTTATGAACACAACACTCTGCTTTGCTCGTACAGTGTGGAAGGAATCTGTGGCGTTTAAAATGCACACATTATATAACTGCACCTGAAACGCCCTCAGGACCAACAGCAGCTCAGTGTCGAGGAGGATTGATTGATATGTGAACGTGGACAGAACGTTCCGCGCCTTCTGAGAGTCGGAGGCTGTCTCCACCATTCAAGCCGTGATCGGAGTGAAGAGACTTCTTTGATTATTTCTGGCAAACATCACATGACCTGTGACCGGCCGCTCAGTTCCATATTTCCAGCTTTTGTGCAGGGCACATTTAAACGAGCGCTGCCACAGCCGTAGGATGGTTTTACGACGGCACACAGCGGCACAGACACAACATGGCCAATCCGTGACTAGTAGAGTCCAACAACAAAGACCCACTTGGGTTCAGATCAGGCAGGCCGTTACTCCAAATCACCCTGCTCTGGGTTTCTCCATCCAACATGAGTGATGATTTATGGGAGGAACAACCTGGAGCATCATGAGCAGGGCTGGTTAGAAGTAATGATCTTTATTAATTATGGGTGGGCAGGTGCTGCTTTTAGACTTTGACCCCCCGCCCCAGATTCAACCTGCCAGTCTGGGAGGTGAAAGGTTGACTTCTGGTCATGTGATGCTGAGGTCACCACTGCTCTCACTGTCCCACTGAAATGTCCTAAAGTTGAACAAAACCATAAGAAACGTAGATTTCAGGTTCTACACAGTCACTCAGTCATAAAGTTTGAACTTTTATTTGTGTTTAACCTTTTTCTAGAATGTGACTGCAACGGTCGGTAACTCAACTGTGGATTCATGGTCATTTACTAACAGTCAAATAACCAGCGGAGTTTTCAAGGAGTTAAGCTCATGCAGAGTCTCAGGTAGGCAGATTATGCAGTTCCCAAAGAAAAGGGACTGGGACTCTTCAGGGATCTTCTAAAAAATGTGATATCTTAAAATTGCTGTTATTTCCATCTCTTAAAGTTGATATCAAACTAATTTCATGAACCTCCTTTCACCTCCCAGATGTCCCTTTTGCAATCGGTTCAAGTATCTTCAAAATCCCAGAAAACTGCTCCATTACAGTCTGTAGTCCGTCTGCAGTCCTCACTAATGTCAGTTCATGTGGACCCTTGGAGGTTTGCCTCAGCAACAACACGTAAATATGTTCCCTTTATATTTGTGATAACGTCTGAATAAATGTTTCACTGACTGATTTAAATGAAGTGTACTACGTGGACTGAAAGAGACTTGAAACCTCTGAATACTTTCTGGATGAGATCAAGATCAAAGCTGCAGAGATATCCTGGCTCTCCCCGAGTAGTCACACTTCAAAGTCCCTGGATCCTACATTTCCCACAATGCAACCCTGTAAACATTATTCCATACACATCGATATTTATTATTTTAGACTTATTCATTATCTCAGAGTTATTAGAGTTGTTCTCGTAGTGTTTTCACAGGTGGAGTGGTACTCCCCTTTAATAAACTGATCTTTATGAGTTATTGGTGGAGTACTCTTTTAATTTGATGTCACAATTTATATTCCTCAAATGTATAAGAAACTTCATCTTCAAAGGATGAAACATCTTTGTGTCTTTGGATTCTGCCTTTAGAGATGAAAAGACAGTTAAATGGTCTCTTTCCATCTCATCAGGTGTTATAAACCCACCGTGGTGTGCACTGTGACTGGGTCCACTGTCATCGATTTCCACAGCAGAGTCCACTCTGTCCAGGATCGCTGTGACTACGCTCTGATGAAGCCTCAAGGAAGCTCTGGTTTTGAGCTCGATGCAGGTTTCCGTGAGCGTCGCCGTAAAGACGTGTCATTTTTGGACCACTTGATAATCAGTCAGGTGTAACAATGTATCTGGAACAAGGCGGAAGAGTTCGGGTGAGCTGCCACAATCCATCTAAAAACAATGTTCATGGGGTCCTTTGATCAATCTGATGATCATTACAAGCCAGGAGTTACTTTGTGTTGATGTGTTCAGAGACACTTTCTGTAGATGTGGTGGTTGAAGTATGAAGCAGCATCAAATAGAAATACTCCAGTAAAGCTTTGTAGAATGAATTCAGTATTTGTGTACAGTTGTTACTCCTCCAATGAAAAGGTGGCATACAAAGTAATCAGTGTTTTATCTCAGGATCTATTTGATCATATTTACTGATATGGAACCAGGATCAGGACCAGTGTTTCCTTCACGTTTCCTATCTGCTGTGATGTAGGTCGGAGACCAAACACTGAATCTCAACACCACGACTCAGCTGCTTCACGGTGTGGAGCTCTCCAAGGACCAGACTGGAGTTACTGCCAAGATACCTTCCTCCAACATGACAGTCTTTTTTGATGGCAACACCGCCCATGTGTCAGGTACAGAACCCTAGATCCTATCTGGACTGAGTTTCAGAATGAAAGCTGTGTTTATTGGGGTCAAAGTTCATTGATTTGTCTCCAATTGTCTCCTGACATCAAACAGGACCAATGCAAGCTGTAGAGGGTTTGTGTGGAAACCCCACTAATCAGAGCCAGACCACCACCCTGAATGATGAGAAGAACATTGAGGATGGGTACGACTTAGTCTTAACTTAATGCACTGACTGATATTAATACATTTGTTA